TATATATATATATATATATATATATATATATATATTCCCATATATGATTATTAAGATGTCTATCTTCCGTATAGCATGACCGCATGAGTGCTGCCGCTTTCACGTAGAAATGATGAGTTACGTAAATTAAAGAAATCGATTTTCTTTTTGTATTCACGCTGAAATGTGTGAACAAATGTTTGTACGCATTTGCTACTTTGTCAAGAAAAGGAGTGATCCACACGGATTGTGTAGATGCGTGTATCAATCGTTTGATTTAAAATACGAAGCAATGAATAAAAGATTTTCTAAATTTTAATTTTCACCTTGATGTTGGACTATTATTATTATTATTATTATTATTGTTGTTGTTGTTGTTGTTGTTGTGTATTTCGTAATATAAACCGTGCTAAGAAATTCTAATAGTTGCGCGTGCTAAACGAGGGTAATCATCAAATCATTAGACCCTCAATTATTTTTTGTCAGCGAATTAAATATTGATGTCATCTGTAACGTTTATGTTACGAGTAAAATTATGTTCGGCTATTTAATTTCATTGGCACGCATTTAGACCGCATATGGTGGAGGAAGAATAAAGGCATCTAGAACGTTGGGTAAATACTGCTTGCCAATACCTCAGATCACATTAATTTCGTAATCTCAATTGATAATCCAAACTTAATCCATATGGTGATGTGTGTGTGTATATTCAGTAGTGTAGTTGTATAGAGATGGAGAGTTTAAATGTACAGTTTTACGACCGTGGGACCCATAAAGCCATATGGCGATCCAATATGTGCTCTGTGAAGTATGCAGACGCAATCAATATTATTTATCGGATATAAATAAAATCAAGTTAAAACAAGATTTGAATACTTGTGAGTATTTAGAAATATTAGCATTGAATCTTTTCCCGTATAACATAGATTTAGGGTTTGGAGTTTTCTGGGTTTGCACTGAACTGCGTACAATTAATTGAATCGAGTCACTCTTTTAATTTATTTATATAATTTATCATATATATATATTATCCATAACGTTCTTTCAACCCTTGAATTCAATTCTATCTATTTTTTAGTGTCCCCACAATGCATTTTCCATCTTAGTTGCATGAATAAGATAATAATATTTCTTTTTTTTATTATAAATAATTGTAGATTTCATTCCCCTACATTTGTCGTATGAAATCCTCAAAACACATGTACATTTCATATTCTCCTAGCGGTAAAAAAACAAGAAAGCAAATGGTAATCACGACCAACGTGGACGGGATCCAAACGATTCTGGACGGAACGTACTTCGAAGCTCGTTATATCGATGGACGTCGAAATTACGGGTTTCCATCAAACGTTTCTGTTTCTTCTCGAAGCGACTCTTGTAGAAACCTTCGAAGGAAGGCTCCTTGGAAGTGGTGAGGAAGAAGGCGTAGCCGCCCATGAAATACGTCGAAGTCACGTAGAAGCAGATGGGCTCCATCACGTCCCACGATAGCTCCCAAAACGTCAGCCTAAAGAACCCAATGGTTTGGGCCATCAGAAGCCCCAGTCCGGCCCATAGTTCACGTCGGACCATTTCGTCTGCTCGTTTGTCGATCTCCGATTTCACAGCCTCGAGTTTCTGTAACTCTTCCCGTCTTCTCGTTGCGTCACGAGTGGATTCGTGTGTCGGAATCAGACCTTCCACGGCTCTTGTAATCTGCAACGACAAAATTAATATTGATTTAGCTTTTCTTTTTTTTTTGTATAGACAGTCTTCTAATATATTTTATTTTTTATTTGTGTTCGGGATGTTACCTCTTCGGGCTTTAGGCAAACGAACTTTCCAAGAACGATGACGTTTCCGGACTCGTCGAGCATATTCGCGACCCGAACACCTTGTTCAGGATCCGAATAGGCTTCTCCACAAACCCGAACAAACTCCGAATAGGGAACCCAATTCCTCCCGATTTCTCTCAGCCGCGATTTCACCATCTCCATCCCCGCTGCTCTCATCAGCTTCCTCGCATCTTCCACCGTCACCGCCGGCAAAAATTCCGGCGACTCCTCGGCCTTCGCCGGCGGCAGTATTTCGTCCAATCGGATCCTATCCTTGGACAAATTCATTTCCCTGAGCCTCTCCACCAGGTTGCTTCCCGCCGGAACCATCTCCGGAGGGATAAATGCTCGCCGGTGTAGAAATCTCCGGCGAATTCCGGAATCTCCGGGATCCGAAGCAACGCGGTGTTTGGTCGGACGCATTCGGGTCAGATCGGAGACCGGGGAAGAAGTTTTGGTGAAGTTGAAGAGATATCGAGCGAGGGTTCTCTTCGACGCCATTGCAGATCTCTATGCTATAATTACCAATTACCAGAAAAAAAAAAAAACTAATGCAAAGAATCGAAGAGGAGGAGATGGACGCCGCGTCTCGTAAATGGGTCAAAGTGCCAGGAGCGCTGGGCGCCTTTTATATGCGTGGTTCTGCGAAAGACGAACAAAACGACAAGTTACCTAAAAACAGTATCTTGCCACGATATTTTGAGATGCAGATAGGAATCGCGAGATTTAAGCATAGCATTTGGCATTGGCATGTAATTATTATCCAATCGTCTTTTAAACGTGGTTTATTTATATTTCATTAGCATAGGAAGATAACATCGTCACATCAACACTTACGAAATATGGGTGTCTTCATCGAATCAAAACAAAAGTATTATTGGAAAAATAGAATCCAATTTTATTGAAATTATTACAAAAATTAAATTTATATAGAATTTAAATATTATTGTACCTTTTTTTATTGATTTAATTTTATCGGTTTCTTACCATATTTAGACAGGAATATTATCATATTTAGATAAGTTTATTGGTTACTTTAAATTTAAATGGAGTTTAAATATTATTATATTTTTTTATTTATTTGACTTTATCTGTTTCTTATTTAAAAATTTTATTGGTTATTTAAATTTATTCGATGATTATCGATAACATATTAGAAAATGTAATTTTATCTTCAATCTGTATAAACTTAAACTTTTGATCTTTTTTTAATAAACTTAAACATTAGAAACTAGTGATTCATTGACATTAAAAAACATGAATTTAAAAATACATGAAAATAGATAACCAATTATAATGCAATTAAATAAAATAAAAAATGAAATGAAATGGGTTGTAAAATTTCGCGAAATAATAATTGCACAGTATTATTTGCTCCAAAAAAACTAATGAAAAGCATAATTCGTTTGTTTAAATATGGAATATTTGTATCGTACAACGACATGTAGACAATCTGTGTACCTTTTTTTTAGGCATGCGACACATGCGTAGGCGTAACTGTTGTTTTGTTTGATTCCGTATATGCCATACATAATATGGGTAAAATCACGACCACAATACCTTCAAAATTGAACTATTTGTTTACGTAATTAATTGAAAAATCGGGCCCAAAAATTTTGAAAATTTGAATTTTCGATGGCCCCACAATTATTTGGGGTAATTAATTATCGTCAATTTATCTTCACCGGAGATACCGGAAAAGGAGAAATTGAGGGGATATCGCGATGGGTCATGCTAAAGGATGACGACCGAACACGTGTCATGCTAAGCTCCCGACGTCATTAGCGACCGCCACGCACTGCCGTCCGATCTTTTGATCCACACTATCACACCCAACCAATTATTATTATTTTTTATTATTTCTTGTTTATCAATCATTATTATTATTATTTTGCAGCTGCAAAGCTTAAACGCCGCTAATTATGTTAATGCTTTTAATCTATGCTTAAAAACCGTTGTAATCGTATATAATGAGGGGGTTTTCTTTAAAGATTTTCTTATAAATCGTCGTTCTAGATAAGATCAAAGAGTCATCTGTGTATTTAAAAAAGAAAACCCATACCTTTTAAAAGATAGGATTATTTCTAAATATTAAAATATGACCAATATTCGTAAATAAAATTATGGATACACGCATTTCGCCAGTATCATTGGAAATATTCGTACGCATTCCCCCGTTTTAATGTGTGTACACGAACATATACACATACACATATATATGAACAATTGGTGAGGATTCTCGGCATTTGTTCAATACCATCAGTATCACCAATTCGAATAAAAAAAATACTCGCAGTCCGGATCGATGGATCGATATATAATCGTTTTATTACAAAAAAACTTTGTTAGCAATTTTTTTTTTGTTACTGAAAAAATTTGGAAATTACCGTTTAACACACACACACATATA